TTTTTTTTGAGAATCTACTTTTACAGAGTTCTCCTGTTTATAGCAGGAGAATGAGCTACAGCCTCAACCATATCCCCAGGACAGAATCACATCTCCTGTGATAATCCCTTTTCCAAGGAAGGGCAGGAAACCAACTTTTGGACTTTGACATCCGTGCAGTTTCTGTTATCTATCTGCTGCCGCTTTTGTTATCAACTGACAGCCATCACTGTTGTTTTCTTCTCTTCGTCCCCCTTAAAATCAGCTTGGCCTTGCTGCTGGCATCTCCCTTCTCTTTGGGATGCCACATTTCTCTCTCTCTCTTTCTGTCCTTCTAAAGGATAAAATAAATTTTACTTTTATGTATCTTAATCTGAGTGAGAAATCTTTCTCCACCCATGCCATGAGCATCTACTAAGTCTTTCCACCCTAACAGAAAATATATAACGCAAGTGAAAAAGTATTGTTATTTTAAAACGACCAATACCTGGGAATTCTGGCTTGATTTGGTTTTTGGCATATCATTTTGACAAAATACCTGATCTCTCATCTCATTTTTATTTTTTAAAAAGCAAGAGTATTAACAAGGGTCAAGCCTGAAGTTATATACTCAACTTCAGAATTAAAATTCAATCTTAACCAGCATTTAGGGTCAAAGCTTTGAATTCCATTATCTACCCTTGCTGGGCTATATGCTTTTCAGTTTTCAACACCAAACACCAAAAGGACTCCTTTGGCTTTCCTTAAACACACGACATGTGTGTGTGTGTGAGCGTGCTTTGTTTGGGTCCATCACTGATTATTTCTTTAAAAATTCTCAAAGGAAACTTTTATCTCTTATAAAAGACAAAGCCTAATCAGTCCAATTTCAGAAACAAGATCTGAAAAGCTGTTAAAACTTCAGTTCCCACAGTTTTACATTGTTTATAAAACCACTGAGTTGACTTCCAGCAAATGCAAACTGAAAAATAAGAAAGTACTTTTTGTTTGTCTGAAAAAGAAAATACAATTGAATGCAACTTCAAAAGTACTGTTTGAATAGAAATTTTTTTAAAGGAAATTTTCCATTTTCGCAGTCCACGGGGGGAACAATTTAAAATCTACAACCACCTGAGGCCTGTTCTCTACTATAGCTTTCTAGCTTTCATTGGTTCTTATATAACAGAGTCGCTTTGAAATTACATTTTGAAGTTGTCTTCCACTTAAATTGTTAATTAAAAAAAATGACATCTGATTAAAAAAAAAAGTCAATGTGACCTTTTCACACATGGTTTGCCTTAAAGGAATTTTTTCCAAATAAACAGTGAGTCGACATCAGGGTAGCTGATGTGGGAACAGTAATTTTTTAATATTAAATTCAATAAGCCCATGTTTTTTACCCATTTACATAAATTTCCTAGATCTATCTTACTATATATGTTTAACTTTCAGATGTGAGACTTTGATAGCACAGTGCAAATACATGATGCAAGTTAAGAACTGTATGTATAATCCAATGATAGTTTTGATAAAACTTTATATGCATGCATTAAAAAAGTTTGAAAGACTTAATAGTTAAGACTATTAACTGGTTATCCTTCAAGGAGGGGAGAGGAGTTAGGAATACAAGTTTCACTTTTCACTTTGTGTACCTCTGTTATTTGAATTTATCAGTAAGCATGTGCTACCGTAATATTTAATCAGTAAAATTAAATATATAATGCAAAAGTGCACAATCTATTGTGTATTACTGTTGAATATTTACATTCCACATACCTGAATGTAAAAATTTAAGAACAGGATGACTAATGTCAGCATGTAAGACGACTGGAAGATGAGACAACCGAAGGGGAAGCCACACGGTTTCACGACGGCACTCATGGTGTGCGTGATGGTGAGCACGAACTGCACCTGCAGGTGGCAGATAGGGCAGCTCTGTGAACACGTGAGGCCGAGCCACACGGACACTACGGGAAGTTTCATCAATTTGGAACTGGAGGTCATTCATTGCATTAAGGGAAATAAGCCAGGCACAGAAAGACAAATCTCACATGTTCTCATGTGGGAGCTAAAAGAATTGATCTCATGGGTGCAGAAAATAGAATGACGGATACCAGAGGCAGGGAAGGCGAGGTGGTGGGGGGCGAGGGTGTGAAGAGAGGTTGGTTAATGGGTACAAACATACTGTTAGGTAGAAGGAATAAGCTCTCATGCTCACTAGCAGAGTAGGGTGAGTACAGTTAATGTGTTGTGTATTTCGTAATAGCTAGAAGAGGACTGCAATGTTCCTAACACGTAGAAATGGCAAGTACTTGAGGCGATGGATATCCTAAATACGCCGACTGGATCATTACGTGGTCTATGGATGTAACAAAATATCCCATGTACCCCATAAATATGTACAAATATTTGTTAATTAAAGAAACAATAAAAAAGAAATCAACTACTATGACTCTCAGAATTTTGCAGGAATAAAACAAAATGCTAAAGCAGGCCACTATCCTACCCAGAAATTTTATTTGAAATTAGTAAATATGTAAAACTGCCCATTATTTTTCTCATGGAAAAGTAGCAGTTAAAATGAGACAAAAATGATTTGATTTATACATTAATTTAAAAAATATGCCATCTCATTCCAAATCAAGGCACTTCCAAGATAAGCTAGTTACATATACAAAGGACATTTAAACACAAAGTTTAATTCTTAAAAGGCCATTTGTAGAGAAAAATAGGCAGCTTCATTATACACAGAAAGCCTCTGACTTCTAAGAGGACTGAGATTTCTGTTTTCCTTTCCCCATTCACAAGCCCAATGGAGAAGAGCTGAAAGAAGGCTTCACATACCAGTTGAGCCTGTGTGAGATATTTCTTCCACCAAAGATACTTGTGCATAGACGGAAACACAGAAAGTCCGTAGTAGGAGTACATAAGAATGTGGATAAAACTGTTCAGTGTTGGTCCAAAGAAACCTATAAAAATACAGTATAAAAATTACTACTTCTAGAAAGTAGGACTGACTGTTCATCCTTTGTGAGATTCTTCCTCTGCATTGTAACTGAAAATGAATTAACAAATACGAGTGATAAATTCCCCGATGATTGTGCCATTTCCAGCCTAGACAGGACGAACCTGGGATAGTTTTTCTGTCAGTGCTCACCTCACCAAACAGGTAGTTTCTTATCTACAAAGGTTTTACTGTCATTTCTATCAGCTGGGAGAAAAAAAATATTAAAGCTAGAGTCAGAATTCCTCTAAAAGAATTGTTTTTGCTTTAGTTAAACCTTTCATGAGACACTTTGATTGTAGAAAGAGCCTTTTGTACATGGCTGATCAGGGTGCTAGAGAAACAAAGCAAATTACTCTTCATAATTAAGTAAATAAATTCCACCTGAAATGGGCTTAGGAACCAGGAGATGCTGAGAAAGTGAGACTGTGGGGGAGAGAGAAGACTGGGGTGAGGAGAAACTGCCAGCGAGACCCTGCCAGTAACTGGGCTGTCTCAGGGCTTTTAGACAAGGGATTATCTGAAGTCCAGTTCCCTGCCACTCACCTCATGAAGAGTCGTCTCTGTAACTGCTGCCAACGTGGGTGAATGGGGTATCAGAAAAGGCTATGCTCTACGCTGGGCCAACTAAGGGCTGAAAAGGATTTAGCTGTAAGAGGTGAGATGCCAGAGACAGATTATTTGCTGGAACTAAGGAACTCATTGTTGTGAGCATTAACCAATCAACAGGTGGAAGTGCTCAGAACAGTGCTGACCGCAAAGTGATGCTATACAAGTGTTAGCTTGGGATCCAGATGCCTGGTCTGTGAACTATCAACCCGATGGTGAGAGAGACTATGGCACTAGAGGACCATTTATTAGCTATGTCCCCTTGGATACATTACTTTGACCTGTAAAGTTTTACTTTCTCATCTGGAAAATATGTATAATAATAATTACCTCTTAACGTTGTGATGAGATTAACTGAGATAATACACTACATGAACATGCTGGTTAATTAATCAATTTAAATTCTCTAGCCTGGTTTTCTAAACCTGGATTAGCAATCTGGAGAGAGAAATGCAAATCACTAAGAAACAAAAGGTACAATACCCTGCATATGGTAAGTCCTAAACATATATTGGCTGGAATAAGCTGTTATGCACTTGAATTTATATAAACACACAGATAAAGTTTCAGAGTACCAAGTGGCACAGGATTTGGTGATACTTCTTTATCCACTTGAGTTTCCATTTCCATCAATTAATGAACAGTGAATAGTTATTGCTTATAATTTTTACAGTAATCTTCAACAGAAATTGTCACGCATACTCACAGGACTATGTCTTTACCCAGTGATGATTTAAGTTTTAGATAATTTGTAATGAAACTTGACAGTCGTAAAAAGCACTTAACCTTGGTAATTCTCCTCTGATATTGATTATAGTCTTCCCTCCTTAATAACAAAACTCAAGACCTAGATTCCACCCGTCTGGGAGAAGGGTGGGAGATTGCTGTCTGCCCGCTGCAGCCCAGCCGTTTCCTGCTTCGCACTCCAGTTTCCACTTGCACCTTCACAGTCACTGCTATGTTCTAAATAAACCGGGCATTTAATAGGTCTACAAGATCCTAAATCTTAGGGAAAAATTATTTTAAGTTTTACATGTTCA